GGACACGCCTGCAAGTTCTCCTGTGATATTTATGAAAGGTTGGCCTGTTGTGAGAAAGGTGGAGGACTGAGAACCAGGGAGGATCTTGTAAACAAGACCACTGCTCTGAAAAATGCTATGCTCCTGTGTTTTCTCAAGTTAATATTTTATTTAGAATGGACAGTACTTTAACACATACCTGCCCGCTAGATACTCTTTGCTGGCTCGTACAGCTGATTGGCCCTTTACACACACATCTAATTCTGAGGCTCACTAGTAGTTGCATTTCTGCAGGATAGCTTTGTCCTGGTGAATGTTTAAATTTTGAAAAATCATTACAGTAAAAGACACATTGCCGGAGGGGAAGGGGAAAGGGAAGAAAGGAAAGGAAAAATTGTGAGAAAGAAAAAAAAAGTGGAAACAAAGTCTATGTAAATAGGGAAGGGTGGTGGGGGTGAAAGGCGCATAGGTAATGGGGAAAAAAATAAGAACCAAGATACATCATGTTCAGGTACAAACACCCAATGATAAATGTAAACGAACTGGGATACCTAAAATGTACCAATAAAATGTACCAATAAAATTTAAAAAAAGAAGACATTGCCATTAACCCTTATACACGCCATCATTCTTGTCATTTCTGGAAGTTCTCCTGTGAATGTCTTTACAAGGTGTGATTAAAAAATATGTGTGCGGCGGGTGGTGGTGCATGCTACAACCGAGTGCCATCAAACTTAAAGGCAGGCCCCTAAAATGTGATGGTGTGTCCTCATCCACCTTATTCACCAGATCTGGCACAGTGCAACTTCTGGCCCTTCCACAAAGTCACAGTGACCATGAAAGTTAAATGTTTTACATGGATGCAGGACATTGAGGCAGCCCCAACAAGTCCAACTAAAGACAGTCAATGAAAGAGGACTTCCAGACCTGCTTCAGAAAGTAGCAAGAACAATGCGACAAGTGCGTTGGAAGCAAGGAGGAACATTTTGAGGGGGATTGATGGCAAGGTGTCTTTTACTGTAGCAATCATTTTTCTGTATTTTTTATTTCAGCGCACCGTATTTTTTGATCATACTCATAAATGATGGTCGCTTGTCCAATGAGCAGGTCATGCCCGTGAGCGCTGCACAGGAGTTGTCAGCCTCCAGGTTTTGTCTCTCTTCCCTTCTCTCCGAACCCTGCTCAATGTCAGCTGCCCCACAGCTCCCCTGTCACCTCCCCATTCGTGAGAGGTGACAGTTCTCCTGCTCGGCCCTGACCTTTCTCCGGAGAGCAGACAGCGCCATCCTCACTGCACACATCACCCCTCTTCCCTCGGGGAGGCCCTGGGTAGCAGACCTTCCACTCTGCTCCCACTGCTCTTATCAAAGGCTTGTCGCCCTCACTCCGTCCTCTCCTGTCTGGTAGGGACCCTACCTCAGGCCTGTGCACCTGCTCGTCCAGTTACTTAGAAAGCCCTTTCACCCTTGCCCCCCGCCCTCCCGCTACTGCAGTCTCATCCCTCACTGGCCACTCAACTCTGTGCATCTGGATGAAGGCAACCTGCTCACCCACGGTCTCAGTCTGGAGAGGCCCTTTCACCATGGCATCATGGTACCCTGTGCTTCTCCATTCAGGGATTTAGTGTGTATCACAATCATGAGTCCACAGTCAGCCATGGAAGGATTCTTTGTTATACATCTATTTCCCTTATAAAGCATGAGACTCCCTGCAGTTGGAGTGTGTGTAGGGGGGGGGGGTGCCCAGTGAGAATCTCATAGGAGATGGCGAGATGGATCCTCCCTGCAGCCTCTGTCAGGAGAGGTGATAGCGTGATAGCCTACCTCTACCCCACAGGGTTGTTGGACGGGTAATCGGTTCCCGTGTGTACAGTGCAATGTCATGTTGGAAAGGCCATATATGAGTTACCATATTTGCTAAGGACTTGAAGGCTCACAAGGAGCAACCACATCTTACACACCTCTCCCTCCACTTCTTAGACTCCCTTCTCCCTCCCTCAAAACCTGTCCTGGAGTAACTGAACAAACCCCTTCTGCTCACTCAGGACAGGCCCTCGAGAGCTCATCTTATCACCCCAAATACTTTTGGGGGATTTTTTTCCCCAGTAAATCCAGGGCTCTTCCTCAGAGGGATCCTAACACAAACTCTTAGCAGCACCCTCCACACCTGTTGGGATCAGAGCAGGATTCTCAGTGCTGAAGGCAGATCGGGAACTTAATGTTTGTAGAGTGAATGAGCGGGGTAAGATATAAATGTCCTTTCATGTCGTTTCAGTCATTCAGTGTATATATAGTGAATGTATTTGACTTCAGACTTGTGTTTTTAGATCCAGGGATGAAACACAGCCCTACCCTTACAGGCCAGTTTAACAAGACAGCAAGTGTTTTCTTCTTCTTTTTTTTTTTTTTTTTGGTACCGGGGATTGAACTCTGGTCCTTGCGCTTGCACAGCAGGCGACAAAACCACTGAGCTAAATCCCCAGCCCTAGCAAGTGCTTTCTTTAATGGAGAAAGATAAAGGATTGGGGAAGTTTTGTTTTCCTTTGCTCTTCACTTTTCAAGAAGCCTTATATTCAGAGTGTCCCTTTATTTGAAAGTGAGAAAGAGGAGGATCTTCTTCAAACTCTAGCTTGAAGATCCACTAGAAGGAAAACATGTCACTATTGCCCAGAAAACAATGAGGTGAAACTCTAGTACCTCTAATGCCAATCCACGACAGCTTCACCTTTAAATTAAAGGAGACAACCTGAAATATTTCTCTGAAGCCTCCACTGCATCTAGAACTAGCGGCACCAAATGTTCCCTGTGGGGCACTGCATTTCAGCTCAGACCTTTCTCTGGTATCTATAGAAAGGATATTTAAGTCTGAAAAGAAATTGAGAAGTTCAAAATAGACACAAATGAAAGCAACATCATCACTTTTTCAAAATGTTTTGTGGTCTTTTTTTAAGTAACAAGGTCCTTGTTCTCTTAGGTGCTAATTTGTCTACTGAGGAAGGCAAACATGTACATATTCCTGTACTTACCTCCCTATTTCCTTGCCAAACCTTGGACTATTATTAAAGGTCCCGTTTTCAGCCAATCAAGCAACCAGTGAAAAAAGAAAGCTCTTCAATCATTCTCCGAGCTGATAATGATATCCTTTGCTTGTCACCTCCTGTGAAATATTAATAATCCCATTGCCAGGAGCAACAGTGTGTCAAGTAATTCCATCCCTTACTGATAGAATAAAATTTCTGTTAAAAGCACTTGATTAGGAAATCTTCTAAGCAAGAGATTTCTTTTTTAACAAAAAATCTTTTCATTCTGTCATTCCTGAAAATAGTTTTTTAATAATGTTGCTCCCATTTCAGATATTAATGTGAAATATCTGTTAACTAGGTTGTTCAAGAGCCCTTCACATGGTGCCTTTTGAAAACAATTGGAAGAACAGTGTCCTATTAAATAAAATAAGTAGGACAGTACAGCAGCTACGTGTTTAATAGGCTTCTGTGTTCAGATCATGTTGCTCGAGCCACATGAATCACCCCAAGTAGAGCTGGAAGGTGGGTAGCAGTTGAATCCACGTGCCTACCACCTCTGCACTGGCTAACAGTAGATAACATCCATACTATATACATAATGAAAGCTAAAGAAAACCTGCATTACCTTTCATGATGCTGTCAGTAGTGGCCACTCGGAAAAAGCATTGATCATCATCAGCTTGAGTGAGACTCCTTAATCCATGTCCGATTCTTCTGTGTCCCCAGCCACCCTCTGATCCACCACACCATAAGCCTTTCACTCATTTTCTCAGCGATCAGTGTAGACAGAGCCCTCTCCAGGTCTCCTCCTGTAGAGTACGGTAGAGAAAAGCAATCCTATTATGAAACCAGTTGGATTCCTCCTGTTTAGAATCTGGAGTAAGCAGTGTGTTGGAAGAAACAGGAGCTACAGGCTCTGTCTTGGACCTAACTTTCCGCACAGACCTTCATCAGTGATTGCTACCCACGCCATTCATAGAACACAGAGCAGCAGGGGCTGCCCTGTGCTGTGACGGGCACCACCCAGAGTTGTTTTGACCGCACCTGGGAACTGCACCTGGCAACTCGATGGTTCATTACTTTTCCAGGATGATTTCATGGCTCAAGTGCCTCCATTTTGGAAAACTTTATCGTGCTTTAAAAACAAAGACGTGGAGATAATAAACAATGGTGATACTGCTTGGTACTTAGTTTGGTAATGGCTTGTACATAATCACTGTGGGAAACCACAGGGATGGTAATAAGAGATGAGATGAGATGGGAGAAGACTGTGGAGGACATACCTTGACCTTTGTCTTGGAAGAGTGTGAGGCCCATCTCCGAGATTCATCCACATCTGAAAAGTGTGGTGTGCTTGATTTTTTTTTTTTTTTGGAAAGCCTATCTTCATTGAACATTACTCATTTCCTCTGCTAACAGAATTATTTGGCAAGACCAAGTTAACAGTGAAACATGAAGTGGTTTATTATTTCAGAGGATACGTAATCTTTCATGGCAGCCCTGTATTCTGACTTCCTGACTAGTTAGGCGAGGTATATTTACCAATAGGAAAGAATTGTTAAGTGAGAACCACAAGTCAATTGTGCTTTGGGAACCTATTGTGAAAATTATCGGTTTAAGTTTGTGCCTTGGGGATTAATGGGTAAACAATTGAATGTCAACTCTAACAGCAAGGAGAAACAGTCTCTCGATTAATACATTAAGTTAACCTGATTTCTCACCTTCGGAACTAAGGTGATTCAAAAGCTTGAGGGGAAACTTTTTGTGCTTTCATGAGTGAGCAAACCCAGAAATGAAAGATGCAAAATTAGAATATATTTTATAATATATTATCCTTGTCTTCAGTCTCCCACCTAGCCACAGCACCTGGCAGATGGGAGGACTTAGAAATGTTCATGAATTGTGACAGTAAGACAATGGAGACTTCCTGGGAAATGGCTTGCTTTAGAAGTACACATAGGCAACTTTCATCAGGTAATCTTGTCTTTCCTCAACTTAGGTCCAGGGGACCTTGACCCTTCCATGGTGTTGGACCCTGGAGACATCACTGATCCAGGATCTGATTATGAAGACCAGGTAATTAAAATCTAGAAATGTTTCTCTACTTAGATGTATAATTTTGGATTTTGTAAATGTTTTATGAAAATTAAAATTATAAATCATTCTGTGAAATCTTGACAGACAACTGATAACAGTTCTTGAAACGTTGTAGTAGCCTACAGATTTCTTGCACTGTTTGGCTCTTTAGCCTTCCCTTATTCACAGATCCAAAATTAATTAATTAATTAACACTTAATTACTGGGTGTGGTGGTGCATACCTGTAATCCCAGCACTCTGCAGGCTGATGCAGGAGGATCATCATGAGTTCAAGGCCAGCCTGGGCTACAAAGTGAGTTCAAGGCCAGCCTGAACTATATAGTGAGATCTTGTCTCAAACAACACCATTAGAAAAACAGTAGGAAAGGTTTGTGGTCAAAAGTTACTTGGACAATCTTGCCTAATAATTTGCTGTGTCTCCGTCTTTCCTACTAGTAAACCAAGAATATGTACTGAGCATCAGCTACTTCCTCAGGGCTCTGCTATTCTATTTCTAACCCTTGGAAGGGAATGAGGACCAGGGAGAACACAGCCAGGGAGTTAAATATATGTTGTTTTTGAATAAAACTGAAGAAATCTATCTAGGTCATTTTCCTCTTTCTACTATTATGTTTTAAGGGGGTCCAAAATAGTTGGCAAATGATCCCACTCCCTACTTAGTCTTTATTGTTAAAGAAACATGTCAAAAACCTCCTCACCATCATTAGTGCTCCTAAGCCATGGCTGACAGCCAAGCTAACATGCTGTTATGAGGAGTTTTGTTCCTTTTCAACTCAGTCATGTCACCAATACGCAGATGTGACCAGTGTCCATACATCATGGCTGGCTCTACACTTTGTATACATATTCAGAAACTATTTTATAAGCATTGAGTTTCCTCCTTCTGTCACAAAACAGGAAGAAGATAGAAGCTAGGCCTGGGGCTAGCTCAGTGGCAGAGTGCTAGCACAGCGGCAGAGTGCTAGCACAGCATGCCTGAGGCCTTGGGTTTGATTCTCAGCGCTGCAAAAACAGAAAAACCAAAAGAGAGCCAGAGATCACACTCAGCTGTCGGACTTCAGTCCGAGCCAGGGGCAGGAACTGCTGGCGAACCTTTCAGAGCTTTCAGTGATAACAAACAGCTGGTTGTGACACGCATGCTGTAAGTTCACCACCACTGTGTTGGGATTCTTTGATGGGGTAGGGACCAGCAGTGTTTTCCAGGTTCTTACTTGTCCCAACCAATTCATTGATAGACAGTTGGTGGATGTGAAAAATTACAATTTATTTTAGGGCAGAAATCAGAAAAGTGAAAGGGGAAAGAAGCACAAAAGAAGTACCCAGGAGAAAAGGGTACTTTGAAGGAAAAAGAGAGATGTGTCCTGCAAGCGGAATGGGTTACTCCAAGAACAAGAGGGCGGTGACCCCAAAGTCAATTGCTGCCATCTTTTTAGATCTTCCTCAGTAGTTGATCCAGGTGTTCCCCCTTGGTCTCATGCTAGAAAATTGACATCTGTGCCAGTTTCAGTGTGTTCTGATAGCAAGAGATTGGTACCGGGTGCGGGGCTCGGCTTCCTCCCACGTCAGGCTCGGGTGCTTCTAGTCTGTGGCTGTGGTTAATAAATTTTAATTGGTAGCTTGTGCCCAGCTGCTTCAGCCAAGCTGCCATGCCCTAGCCTCCTACTACATGGGGGTATTACATGAGTGTCCCCAAGCATCCACAGTGGCCCCGCTCTCCTCACCACATGCATTCTCCTTCGAGCAGCTTGGAACAGCCATGGTTTCGGCTTCCTAGAGCTCCTTGGAGAGCCCTTGTTGCACACGTCTGCCTACTAAACAGCACGGGCTGGATTCCCCATGTGCCTTACCACACAGCGTGTCCAAAACGCAGCTCACCATCTTCCCCCACAAAATCTGCTCTTCCTTCTGTCTTCTCTGTTTTTCTGAATGATCCCCATCCCCCTAGCTGCCCAAGCCAGAAGCAGGGTGTTTTCCCAGGCTCCTCCTTTCCTTCCTTCCTTCCATCAGCTCCGTCAGGAAGCTGGTCAGCTCTCCTAGGAGGAATAGTCCCCTCCTCTCCTGTTCCACTACCCCTGTCTGGTTCACATCCTCGGTCTCCCTCCCTGGGACCACAGAGACAGCCTCCTAACCCGTCTCCCTGCCCCAGATGTCTCATCTGCCAACAAGATCTTGGTGAAATCAATTCAGTCATGGTGATGTGCTGCTTAGAACTCTTTTTGGCTTCTCATTGATTTCACAGTTAAATCAGAACCTGTATGCATAACACATGGAAACTTCCAAATCCGAATCAGACCCCTTCATTCCTATCCAGACTCATCCCTCATCCCTTGCCAGTCAACAGAATACATTGACTGCTCCAGCCACACCAAGCCATTTGCCATTCCTTCTAGCGGGCTGTACTGTGGGTCCTTTCCCTCTGAAGGGAAACTTCAGGCACCCGTTTCCTCCATCCCAGTCTCCACTTGTGCACCGTGGGGCCAGTGACTCCTCCGAAAACTATTCTCCTGTGACTCATTCACCTTCTCCAGGGACCCATCCATCCTATCTGTGTCGTAATACGGGGCTGCATTCCACAGACTGCACTGGACCATGGCCCAGGCTCACTGAAAGGCTGAGACCAAACCCTAGGACAGTATAACAGCCCTATTACTGCAGTTCCTTTTCCCATGTACATCACGCCCATCCATCAAGAAGAAACCACAAAGCATACCAGAGGGCAAAACACAGTGTGACTACAGTGAACAAACATCAGAACCAGAGTCATATATGGTAAGGATTTGTTAAAACTGAATAATAAGGGGATTTAGCTCAGTGGTTCCAGTGCCTGCCTCGAAAGCTCAAGGTCCCGAGTTCGATCCCCGGTACCAAGAAAAAAAAAAGAAAACTGAATAATATGCTTAGGACTTTAGTGAATAAAAAAGAAGACAGCATGTAAGAACAGTGGGTAATGTAAGCATAGAGATGGAAATTATAAAAAGGAATTGAAAGGCGAGAGGTCATAAACACTGGACTAGAAATGAATGTTGTCTTTGATGGGTTCCTTCATAGCCCCAGAACCTCTAGGCTTGCACATATAACTGGAGAAACTTTCAAAACTTAAAAACAATGAGAAAAGAAGACTGGAGAAAAAGGAACAGAATATCCAAGAACTGTTGGGCAGTTACAAAAGGTGTAACAGATGCATAATGGGAAAACCAGAGAAGAAAGACAAAGGATCAGAAGCAATGTTTGAAACAATAATGACTGTGAATTCTACTCCCATTCCCCCAGAATAATGCCAGACACTAAACCACAGATCTAGGAAGCTCAGAGAGTGCCGAGCCAAGGCTACGGCCAAAAACATAGCAAAACTACACCTGGGCAGCTCATCTCAGCCTGCAAAATATTAAACAAAAAAATCTTGCCAGGCATGGTGGTGCACACCTGTAATCCTAGCCCTCAGGAGGGTGAGGAAGGAGAATCACTGTAAGTTCCAGGTCAGCCTGAGCTACACAGTGAGGTAGAGGCCAGCCTGAACGACATAGCAAGTCCTTGTCTCAAAGGAAAAACAAATAGAGCTGGCCATTTAGCCCAGTGGCATCACACCTGCCTGGCAAGTGCGAGGTCCTGAGTTTGATTCCTGGTACAGAAAGAAAGAAAGAGAGGGAGGGAGGGAAATAAGGAAATCAAATTTTAAAAATCTTGAAAGAAGCCAGAGGGAGAAAACACCTTCCCTATATAGGAGCAAGAATAAGAATTACACCTGAGTTCTCCTCAGAAACCATGCAAGCAAAAAGAAAAGAGAATGAAATAAAATACTGAAAAGGGGAAAAACCCCTAAAATTCCATACTTCACAAAATTATCATTCAAAAATCAAGAAAAAAAGAGACTTTCAACAAAGAAAAATTGAGGGAATTTGTAGCCAATAGACCTGCCTAGCATGAAATGTTTTTCAAAAAGCTCTTTAGAGAGAAGGAAAATGATATAGTTCAGAAATTGAGATCTCCATAAAGAAAGGAAGAGCATCAGAGAACAAGTCAGTGACAGAAAAATAAAAATTTATTTTTTATATTCTTCATTAATCTAACAAATGTTCAAAATAATAGCAACAATATATTTGGTTATGTATGTGTGTACATATGTGTGTACATACATATATGTGTGTGTGTGTGAAATAAATGACAGCAACTATACAAGGGACAGAAGGGGGAAGTGAAGAATATTTTATCATTACCAGAGACAGGAACTTGCACTGCCTGTGAAGTAGTGCGATGTTGTTTGGAAGTGGACTTGGATGAGTTGTAAACAGAATCATGTTCCGTGCTCAGTTACCAGTCCAGAGGCAGTGCTGCCGTTCGGACACGGTCTGAGTGTGTCACCCACTGTGTGCTGGAAGCTTGGCGCTCAGTGTGGCTGTGTGGATGGGTGGAACAGTAAGTGGTGGCGTGCTAGCGGAGGTGATGAGGCACTGGAGGATAAACGCATGTCTCCTGAGACCCACTCAGTTTTGTAAGAGTGAGTTGTTATTGGAGGGCGATCAATCCTCTGATCTGCCTAGGGGAAGAGCAAGGGCTAAAGAAAGACAATAAAGATGTAATTTCATAATACATGGGGGGCTGGGAGGTCAGCGCCTCAGAGTGGGCAAAGACAAAGACAGCCCATGCTAGCCATTATTTACTGGGCACACACAGTAATCGGAGGTCAGGTCGTGTCAGGTGACAAAAAGGGGCGGTGGTGACCCTATGTTGATGGGGGTAAGGAAAACATGCTTACAATAGTAGGTAGGACTGGATAGCAGGCTAATGAAGAATGTGTCCTTCCCCCAGGTGAAACCTTTCTCTCTTGTGTTTTTTTATTACTACTCAGTTCTCAGGCCGGGGATTTAGCTCAGTGGTTATGCGCTTGCCTCAAAAGCGCCAAGGTCCTGACTTCGATCCTCCTTAACAAAAAAAAAAAAAGTCAAACACTACTCAGTTCTCAAAGAACTAAGATGATGTA